AGGTTACAGACCTTGAGATGGAGAGGTTATTCTAGATTATATAGCTAGGACCAATCTAATTACAGGAGCCCTTAAAATCAGAGTGCTTCCTGAGTAAAATCAGAGACTGCACAGAAGAAGAAAGATGAGATTTGAAATGTGAGAGTAACTTGACTTACAATTACTGGCTTGGAAGATGAGAGAAGGGGATCATTAGTCAAGGAATGTGAGAAGCCTCTAGAAGCTTGGCACAGTCCTCAGCTGACATCCACCAAGAAAACAGGAACAACATTCCTACAACCAGAAGGAACTGAATTCTGCTTATAACCTGACTGAGCAAGGAAACAAATTCCCCCCTGAGTCTATAGAAAGGAAGACAGTCCTACTGATTCCTTGATTTTAGCCCAGTGAGACACCGGTCAAATTTCTGACCCACAGAACTATAAGATATTAAATTTATATTGTTTAAGTTTCTAACTTTCTGGTAATTTGTTTACAGCAGCTATAGAAATAACCATAGAAAAATTTGTATACATTACGCATAAAATAATAAAATAATAATATACATAAAGAAATAATAATAGAATACATTTTATACTTAAGGTAATTTTAGATTTACAAAAAAGTTGCAAAGATAGTATAGAGAGTTCCCATATACCCCACCTCCAGTTTCCTCGACTGTTAACATGTTGTATGTTAACATACATATGTTAGTATGGTACATTGGTCACAAATAAGGAACCCGTATTGACACATTATTACTAACTAAAGTCCATACTTCATCCAGATTCGCTTAGTTTTTGCCTAGTGCTATTTTTCTGTTCCAGGATCCCATCTAGAACACCTTATTATATTTAAACATCATGTCTCCTTAGGCCCTCAAGGTTGTGACAGGTCCTCAGACTTGCCTTGTTTTTGATAACTTTGACAGTTTTCAGGAGTACCGGTCAGGTATTTTGTAGAATAGGATAGCCTTCAATTTGGATTTGTCTGATATTTTTCAGGGGTTATGGGGCTTTGAGAGGAAGACCACAAAGGTAAAGTGCAATTCCCATCACGTCACATCAAGGATACTTGGTGTCAATGTGACTTATCACCAGTGATATTGACCTTGATTATCTGGAATTTGACAAGTTTCTCCACTGTAAATTACTCTTTCCTCTTCTTTTCCATACTCTTTGAAAGGAAGTCACCATATATATGACCCTGAAGAAATGGGAGTTATGCTCCACATCTTTCAGGGAAGAGTCTTGATATAAATTACCTGGAATTCTCTGCATAGGAAATTTATCTATTTTACTCCATCCTTTATTTATTCTATCATGTATTTATATCAGTGCGGACTCATGAATATTTATTTTATACATTGAGTTATAATTCAACACTTCTTTATTTATTTTATTGCTCAATTTGTTCCAGATTTGGCCATTGAGAGCTCTTTCAGATGGCTCCTGTGCCCCTTGACATATTCCCATCACTAAGTGTTTTTTGAGTCCTTCCTTATTTTCTTTTGCTACAAGTTGCTCCAGACTTAACTTGTGTATTCCCTACCCCAACCCTAGAATCAGTCATTTCTCCAAGGAGCCTCCTTTTACTGGAGAATGTTTTTGAAAAATATCTGTGTGCTAGGTATACTCATTGTGCTAGGTATACTACTAGGAGTGGCATTGCTTCTGGACCTTCTTAGCTGAAAGAAATATTTGTGTGCATAGTAACCTATGTATATGTACATATTTATAAATATTTCTATATGTATTCTTCTGCATTTCCATTATGCTAAACATGAGCTTATACTGATGTCTCCAACTATAATCCAATACCACATGGATTATTCTGACCTTCTCCCATGCTTGTCTATAGCCTTCTATTCCAGCAGGAGTGGTGACAAACCTACTTCCCTCCAACCTGCATCCATTCACTTACTTGTGCCATTCCACTATACACGTATATTGGTCTGAGAATTGTTATCCTGGGAAACAACTTTACCAACTAGAGTGCAGAGCTTATATTTAGTTCCTTTTGCTTTTGATGTTATAGTCGCCATTCATTTTCAGCGTTACTTAGGTAAGCATCTTTTCTCCCTGAAGCCTTCAATGAAGTTGTTTCATACATTTGTAATACAATTAAATTCTTATGTTTAAGTTTGCATTACATCCTGGGATTTCTGACCTCCTAAATGTTGCTTTTTTTTGTTTTATTTTTTAATATACATTAAGGTTGACTCTTCATGCTGTAAAGTTCTATTCTTTTTAAGGGACCCTTAACCCTATATTTTTTTAATTTGTTTTCATTGTCATAAGAACGCTTAGCATGAGATCTACCCTCATAACAAATGTTTAAGTATACAATACAGTATGTCAACTAGAGGTACAATGTTGTACAGCAGATCTCTAAAACACATTCATCTTGCTTAACTAAAACTTTATATCTGTTGATTAATAATTTCCCATTTCCCTCTTCTCCCAGGCCCTGGCCACCACCATTCCACTCTTTGATTCTGTGAATTTGACTATTTTAGATGCCTCATATAAGTGGGATCATGCAGTATTTGTCTTTCTGTGACTGGTTTATTTCACTTATAATAATGTCCACAAGGTTCACTAATGTTGTTGCATATTGCAGAATTTCATTATTTTTCAAGGCTGAATAATATACCACTATGTGTATATACCATATTTTCTTTATACATTCTTCCATCAATGGACACTTGGATGGGGGGGTGGTGTATTCTTTTTTCCACTTTACCTGTCAGTTTGGGAAGATTCTTTTGGGTTATCTTCAAGTTCACTGATTCTTCCCTCAACTATGTCAAGCTTACTTATTTGCCCATTGAAGACATTCTTTTCTACTACTCTAAAAAATTTTTCTAGCATTTCAGTCTGATTCTTTCCAATAATTTTCATCTCTCGGCTTACGTTGGCCATCTATTCTAACACATTGTTTATTTTTCTCATTAGTGCCCTTAACATTTTAATCAGAGTTATTGTTAATTTAATCCTATCTGATAATTCCAACAGCTGTCATATTTGAGTCTAGGTCTGATGATTGCTTTATCTGTTCAGACCGTGTTTTTTCTTGCCTTTTGACATTCATTGTAATTTTTTGTTGAGCAGTGACTTGTATTGGATAATAGGAACTAGAGTAAATAGGTCTTTCCTACGAGGACTGATGTTAATCTGGCTATGAGTTGGGCTGGCTTTAATGCTTCTTGTAGCCATAGATTTTGGAGGCTTCAAATTCCTCTCATGTCCTCATTTGGTCTCCCTGTTGTTCCACAAAAAGAATCTGTATCTTTCAGCTCTTTCATCTGCTATCCATTGTCACTATACTGGATTCCTATTGGTGTTTTGTTAGGGTGTGGGAGAGGAGAAGCATTCTATAACCTTCCTTTATACGATGTCTATTAGTGGGCCTCTACCTCAAGGCTGTGGTGTTTCTGCTCTTCCTCCCATGGTATTTATTTTCTACCCACCAACCCCTGCTTCTTTCCCTGGCTGCAGAATTTCCAATCTATTTCCTTGAAGCCCTGACCCTATTAACTATGCTTTGTTTGTTTGTTTAGTTGGTTGGGTTTTTTACCATGAAGGTGATCTAGAAAGGCTAGAGGGAGGTAGAGCAGTGGGGAATTCCTCTCCCCCAACTGGGATAAAGTTTCAGAATTGTGTCCTCGCAAAGTCCTTTCTCCTGGAGAGTAGGCCTTTTTTATGGAGAAATCTCTGAAAGTGTTTCATAATAGTTACTCTTCTGCTCCTCCTGCCAGAGACACTGAAGTATCCTTCTGGGACCCTTGCTGTGAGAATCTAGTAGGATTCCTGTAGAGAAAGCTCATGAAAGTGTGAAGGGGCCCTACTAAAACCGTGTCCCTGGGGATTTTCACTTTCAGGCTAACCCACACCCAACCTCCTGCAATTCATCAAAATTACTGCTTAACTATTCCTACCAGTTTACAACTCCAGTGACTTTTGGGTAAGCAGATCTGAGTACTGCTTCTCTCTGGATGTACCCCTCTCCAGATTTTGGGGTAGCAGTTTATGCAGTGACCTCAGTTATCTGATAGGTCCAAGAGGAGTCACTGATTTCCAGTTTTTCTTAAGGATGGCAGTCTGACTTCTAGATTCTTCACATGTCGAAGCTGAAACAAGAAGTCCATAAGCAGATTTTATAAGCTCCCCAGGTAATGCTCACATGCAGACAAGATGCGTATTGCCTCTAGAGAACAGGAATTAGGGATTTGTGAGAATGGCTGCCAGTAGTATCACAAACTTTAGTTAGAGCTTCTCAACCAAATGGAGGTGGGTTATGTAAAGAAGGGGTCCAGGAACTCTGCAGAGAGTGATAAAGGGAGCCAATCTCTGGGTCAGGACAGGGAACCCAAAGGAAATCAGCAGTATATCCAGGGTCACCTTGTAGCTGGTAACATTTAGACACTACTATGCCTACAAGTCTGGTGTGCTAGCCTGTAATATTTGTTCTCTCTTCCCTTCTTCAGTCTAATAATTTCTCTCTTGGGTGATGTATGTAAGCCACCTTTCTTTAAGGAGCTTCATGCATTACTATAGTATTGAACATGTATGGTATTACAATATAGCAACAGAATCCTCTGGGATTAAAAAAAATAAATAAGATATCTGGTCCTGCCTAAGACTTAATGAATCAGAATTCCTAGGAGGAGGGCTATACTATTTAAATTGCTCACTAAAACTTCCAATTATCAGCCAGGTTTAGAAATGACCATTCCTCATCACACACTCCCTTTCATTTAATGCCATGAGCATTTTCTTCAACTCCCTCAATAGCTTGCTCTGGTGGGGACTCCTCAACATCTACTCCCCCCTCCAAATGAGTCTCAGCTGTCCTGCAAAGTCTATTTCCCCTGCCAGGAGTTGGTTTAGGAGTAGAATTATGACTGGCCAATGAACAGTGGGAGTAGGGGTGGCTTCAGGAAAGGCTTCCTTGTGGCTAAAAAAGAAACACAAGAAGATTTAGCCCCTTTCTTTCTCTGGATATGTTTATGTCTGCAGTTCACCCCTGAGCCTGCTGCAACCACATTTCTGCCAACTTAGGGATGTAGTCAATGCACAGAAGGCTGAGTGACAAGGACTTCAGGGAAGCAGAGCCAGAGCCCTGGCACCATGCCTGGATCATCTTGGCTTCTTGTTTCATGAGATAATGAACATTGGTTTTGGTAAGCCAATTTGAATAGTGACTGTTACTGTAGTCAAAAGTACCCTATCTGATATAACTGCAAACTTCTTGAGAACAGGGAATGGGTATATAAATAATGACTATGATTTACCTTACATGCTCTAGGTGGAATAATAATAATAATAATAATAATAATAATAATAATAATAAATTCTTATAACAAATTTAATAGTGGTTACATGTGCCAGGTACTTTTATAAATGATTTTATAGCAGATCATCTTTTTTAGATTATAAACATTCATATAGATTAACTATTTTGATCATTACAAGAATGCTATGAGGTAAGCTATGTTACCTCCACTTTCAAATAAGGAAACTGAGTCCCAGACAACATAAAGTAACTAGATATGAGTCAGAGGGCAACAGGAATCAAAGGTAGGATTGCAAACCAGGTACCCTGACTTCAGAACTCATGCTTCAAGAGACTACAATAGCACCCGCAATTAATTAGTCAAATCCCCTAATACACATGAACTGGAAGCATCTCCCATTTGAGCCCTCCCCCTTTAATTATTCTCATGTGTACAGGGAAACTAACAGAGTGGCTGGGTCTGGAGGACCTGCAGGCATCAGCCACAGGCAATACCCAAGCCAGCTCTCCTCTCAAACTTCTAAAACCTTATTTGCATCCTGGTGTCCAAATCCTATATCCCTTCCCCACTTGAGTTCTGCTTTTAGGAAAGACTCTCAAAAGTATAAACTGATAAATTCCTTACCCGGTATATTTTCCAGAACTTGTGCTTTTATTTTTACTTTTTATAAGGAGTATTAGCCCTGAGCTAACATCGACTGCCAATCCTCCTCTTTTTGCTGAGGAAGATTGGCCCTCAGCTAACATCCGTGCCCATCTTCCTCTACTGTATATGTGGGAAACCTACCATAGCATGGCTTGATAAGCAGTGCGTAGGTTCATGCCTGGCATCAGAACCAGTGAACCCTGGGCTGCCAAAGCAGAGTGTGCAAACTTAACCACTCAGCCAGCAGGCCGGCCCCCAGAACTTGCACTTTTAGATCCCAGAAAGAAGGTTCTGGAACAATGGATGCCAGCTAACTCTGCAATTATGTAAAACAGAGCGGCTACCAAGTAATTTTACTTCCACAAAAATAAAACAAGAACACATAATATGGGCTCAATAAACATGTAAATGAATGGTCTTTCTGGGTGCAAGCTTACCAAGTCAATTAAGGAAAGGAGCTTATCCTTGGGTTATGGGTTTCACTTTGTAGGAGAGGCCAGTAACATAGAGAAAGAGCAGAACACAGACTGAAAGGGAAGGTCCCACAATAATAACAGCAGGAAATATGGCAGGTCCCCTTCATGACTGAATGGACCTGTGTGGAGAGGGATGAGTTATACAAGCCTGCCCCACATGGAGAAATGTTTGACTCCCTTCGGGAAAGTAGAAAGTTGGAAAATCATCAGTGAAAATCTAACTCTACAGTGCAAAGATTCATGCCAAGAGGAAATGTGGAAAATTATGTGGAAAGTCAGGTGGAAAATCCTGTAGAAATATTATGTCTGGGAAAAAGGGTACTACTAAAAGTAGGTGCCACAGGCCCAGGCTGAAATAAAAGCCTACACAACAGAACTCAGCTTCATTCAACAAACAAACACAAGGGAGAAAATGCCTAATAGGAGACCAATAAATGTCCCTCTAAGTCTTTAATAAGACACAAAAATCTAAATGGATGTCTTTTGTCAGAAACCTGACTTTGACAGTTATTTTCAACTGGGATCACCTGCAAGCCTTCACAGCCAGCCTTTTCAGAATTAATTCTTAACAGGCTAAGAGGGGAATAAAGGCAGCTATTGCCAAAATAGCCAATAATATTGATCAGTTTCCTTATTACCAGCACTGTGTAACTGTTCTCCCGTCTGCCTAACTGGGTCCCCTTAGTTCCTCTGGGATGCTTGCTTATTGATCATTGTGACACCTTTTGACCACTTTTTATTCTCTCCTTTGTACTTCAATGGAATTTTCTGGTTGCTAACTCCCTGTAGGCTTGAACTGTACCTTATTTTCATTTTGTAGCTTCTAAGCCCTTCTGACATCTATTTGACTGCCTTACCTATGACCCTTAGCTAAGCATGTGTTGCATGGCACGTTTTTGGCCGGCACCTGCCCCCTCATCCTGTCTTCTCAATCTGTTTTCACCCACAGTCTGGATTGCAGGACCTAGAATGATATGCCTGGGTCACTATACCGTAGACTCAAGTGCTTTTATTAGCTCCTTAAATAGATGCATCATAAATATATAACCCAACAAGTTGAATTCATTTGAATTTTGGTGATTATATTCATATTTATAATTTTATAAATAGTTAACATAAAACAGATCTTCCCATTAGAGCCTTAGAGTTCTTACAATTTCTTTTCAATCAATGATTTTTTTTAATGTGAGTGTGTGCTCATGCACTGTGCCAGACACCAAAGAAGAAAACAGGAAGATTGTTCAGAGGATTTTCTGCAAAATCAAAAAATGATGCTCCAGAAGGGCACAAATTACCATGGGATAGCTTATCCTAGATAAGAGGGAAAAGACTTCATTAAAGTCAGAAGCTGAAGCTATATTCGATAAGTAATACACCATAGAACTGAGGTAGGAGTGAGAATAGAAATGAATTTAATACATCAAATTTGATACCTTGTCATTCAAGTTGGGAATCTAGATTAAAATGTCAGGCATCAGAAGTGCCATGAATTATCCCTAACCAATATTCAAAAGCTTGGCAGCTTTCTAATTTTAATTTTTTCCCCCTGAAATACTCCGCTCATTGACTTAAACATTTTTTTAAAAGACAACACTATAATACTACATTAACACCTAATTCAAATGTGATGTGATTGAAACAATAAGGATTACTACTGTTATCTTGATGCAAGAAGAGGCTTAAATGAGCATTTTGGTTTGCTTTTCTTCAATCTGAAATCAACCTACAAGAACAAATTTAAGTCAACTTTTATCTTTTTGAGAGTAACATGCATGATAAGGAAGGCTTTCTTTGATTTAAATTTTTTTCTATTTAATGTTTATATGTATAACAAAATCATGTAATGCCCTGAAAGAATATAAATAGAAACCTTGCAAAAGAAGAAATTAAAATGTACTTTAGTACAGAAAATTCACCCTTTATATTCAAACAAACAGAATCCATTTCATCTACTAAATTGGTAAATAGCTTTCTTTAAAGATAATAATACCTAGAGTTGACAAGAATACAAGAAAACAGGCACTTTCATACTTACCTCATGAGAGTATAAGCTGGCACAACTTTATCAAGAATATTAAAGGAAAATATCAAACACATGAAATATTTTTAAGCACTGACCCAGAAAATCCATTTTTGTGATTTATCATAACAAAATTATAACATGTATACAAAAACAGCTACAACGATGCCCATCCGAGCATTGCCTCCATCCGTTTTATACATACCCTGCCCCCACCATTCTTATTTTCTGACTTTGATATACTATGTGGAAAATTAATGGGAGCTTACTTTCCCCCAAATGTCTCTATTGTAGTAATCCACTGTTACAGATAAGCGTGTTTTGACACCTTCAAATGTCTTGGAATGGAAAAAAAATTGGGAACCACTGTGCTCAAAAGAATAACTAATAACCTGGAAAGATATTCACAAGTTGTAGGAAAGCAACTTATAAAACAATATCTAGAATATTTTTAAACGGCAGTTTTATTTTTTAAATATTAATATAAATAAAAGGACTAGAAAAATATTTGAAGAAATGTTAATTATGTTTGAATCAGAGGGAGTGATTAATTAAAGTGATTTTCTTCCTTTTGCTAATCTGTATTCCTAAAGTGAATAGGCATTTTTTGTAAGAAAAAATAAACAAAATATCATTTAATACATACATTTGCTCTCCATTCACAGTTGTTATGGATCTGAAAGTTTAGACACAGTATATAACATAATTGCCTAATTTTTAAAAGGGAATTATGACTAAGCATAAAAAGTGAAAAAAATAAGCTTAAGGAAATCTAAAGATTACGGCAGATCCAAGTCCTAGGAGAAAGATCCGAGTAGAGTGTCTGGAAAAACACACCTAAGAATCAGTTCAACCTACAAGAATTGACTCAAGTGCCAGCTGTCTACTATGGCAGTGTTTTTGTTTTTATCTTGTCATTTTTTAATTTTTATCATTTTTTTGTAAATTTTTTTTAGCGAGGTCATAACACTTTATAACATTGTGAAATTTCAGTAGTACATTGTTACGTGTCAGTCACCATATAAATGCACCCCTTCACACCTTGTGCCCACCCCCCAAACCCCCTTCCCTTGGTGAGCACTAAACTGTTGTATTTGTCTGTGTGTTTATCTTCCACATATGAGTGAAATAATACAGTGTTTGTCTTTCTCTGTCTGGCTTATTTCGCTTAACATAATACCCTCAAGGTGTATCCATGTTGTTGCAAATGGAACAATTTTGTCTTTTTTTGTGGCTGAATAGTATTCCATTGTGTATATACACCACATCTTCTTTATCCAATCATCATGTTGGGCACATGAGTTATTTCTATGTCTTGGCTGTTGTGAATGATGCCACAATGAACATAGGGGTGCAGAAGTCTCTTTGAATTGTTGATTTCAAGTTCTTTGGATAAATACGCAGCAGTGGGATAGCTGGATTGTATAGTGTTTCTATTTTTAGGTTTTGAGAAAACTCCGTACTGTTTGCCACGGTTGTTGCACCAGTTTGCATTCCCACCAGCAGTGTATGAGGGTTCTCTTTTCTCCACAACCTCTCCAACGTTTGTTATTTTTTGTCTTGGTGATTATAGCCATTCGAACAGATGTAAGGTGATGTCTTAGTATAGTTTTGATTTGCCTTTCCCTCATGATTAGTGTTATTGAACATCTTTTCATGTGCCTATTGGCCATCTGTATATCTTCTTTGTAAAAATGTCTGTTCATATCCTTTGCCCATTTTTTGATCAGGTTGATTTTTGTTGT